ACACACACCCAACAAGGTGGACATATCAAGGGTATTCTTTACTTAACTGAACTTAGATGAAAATGATATAAGTGTCTTTGAAAGCTTATGGAGCTCTTCACAAATCTAAACTCATAGTTCAATAAAATTTGATATTGTTCCCCATTTTGTTGATTTATCGGGTTTCTATTGGGGTCTTTACTTTTTTTCCTTTATTTCTTATTTTTGATATCTTCTCAAGGAGAATTGCTTTGGGCCAATCAATTCTTTGGTTACTCCACTAGGGAAAATTATTTGGTGACTCCATTGGGCAAGAGCTCACCCTTCATTTTATCAGCTTGAAGCTAAAAGGGTAAAATACATAAATAGAAGGAGATGTGATGATGACCAACGGCTTCTTCATAGTTGGAACTATGGTAAGGTTATATGCTACAACTAAGAGAAGGCAACTAAAAGAGGAGTTTGTAGGCACAAAGCCGAGAACACAAGCCCTTTAAAGTCCGGGACATAGGGCACAAAGCTTGCAAAAATACACTCTCAGCGCGACCTAGAGAGCCGAGCATGGAAGGAACCATAGGCACCATGCTGCAAAATCAAGTTCTTTCCTGGTCTTATTACCAGGGCACACAGCCCATGGTTTGCAAAGCCTCTATGGGAAAGACTGAGTAGGATGATGTGGCCTATCAAGGATGCTCTAAAAATTGACTTGTGCATCCTTTGACTATTTAATATTAGGGGAGAGAATGATCAAAAGTTACTGTAGGTATCTACTTCTTTGCCTGTCATCTATTCCTTAAAGAAGGTGGACACCCAATTTGAAATTGGTTAATTTCCTTACTCCCTAAAAACCTTAAATTCCTATAATCATATAACCTTAAATCCTAAAGACCATACTACCCTTGTAAACGTTAGTACACCATGGCCTAGAGAATTGTAGCCCTTTAAAAAATATTAACACTAGGCAAATGCAATCTAAACCACCAAATCTTATCAGAATTTGTGCCATCGTCTATTTAGAACATCACATAAAGCTCGGAAAACCTAGTTTGGACATCCCAAACCCATTAGAATAGCACTTACCACTGCTAAATTCAATAGGAGGTTTGGCACCATCCAATGAAACATAGGCTTAATTTCAACCAGCAACACGAACGTACCTCACATCGCTGATCCTAAATGGGCACATAATTTCCGGGAAGCCCGGTCTAATTAAGATTAGTACTTTTCTGTGTGGGTGCTGACTCTGGTTCTGCTTCTATAAGGGTAGGGGATATCTAGAATCATAAACCTTGTAGAACCAAATCCTTTGACCTAGTCAACCAGTCAAACATGTGAGCCAATCAGGTGCTCGAAAATCCTAGCCCTAAACTAATTAGAATTCTTATTCCTTAAGAACTAGGGAGCTCATCGAAGCTTATATAGACCCCTCTAGCCTCCTGTAATTCAATGTCACGACCCTGCTCCCAACCATCCCCACCGAACCTACAAAGGGCTAAGCCCCGGCCTGTCGGAGGACAATAGGGCATGGGGTCACGACTACAGGTAGCGAGCGCCACTTTCAAACTAAAATCTTGGAAAAATTCCGTAGAAATTAGAAAGAATTTCCCTAGGCTAGAAGAACCCTAGAGCAACCTACAGACCTAGAAACCTTTGGTCTAGAACCCTAATTCTCAACATCTATCAAACCCTAATTTCAAAGCTAAAAATCCTTAGGATGGAGCAAGTCAATAACCCTAGGACGAATACGTCCTAGGTACTTCTCAAATTCAAGAAATCCTTTAGGATTGAGGATGAAGACATTTGAACTTCTAGTGGATTCTGGGCCACCAACTCGGGTTGTTAAACTAGAGGGACCGAGTTCCATGTTAGTCTTCCTATTATTTTAATTAGTTTATTTCTTGTTCTTTTATCACTTTCCTTTTTTTCTTGGTTCCTATTGCTTTGGATCCATCTTCTCATGTAATGTAATTCAATGGAACCCATTATTCTCTATCATGTTTTTGATTTCTTAGTTTGAAACATAAATCAGAGAGGATTTCATCCGAGATCTTCCCAAATTTGGTTATAAACAAATTGTTATAAAAAATAGATAATTATATAATTTAAATGTGAAAAAGGAGTAATGATGTTATGAATCCCTCACGAATACAGGTTTCACAAGACCCTAATATATGACCATAGGATCCTCATCTGTATCTCCAGAGCAGGTCGTGATGCTAGGTCACTTGGTTAAAAAGTAAGGCCTGTAACTGTCCTCCATTTAAACTTCTTTTCACTCATACCTACTCTCTGATGCCGTACCATATCTCTCTCTCACACACACACACATACACAAAGAGAACCATCAAATTCTAGCCATTGCCACTTACAGAGCTCCACCTAATTGGTCCCGAGAGCCAGCAAATTCTAACCATTGCCACTTATAGAGCTCCACCTAATTGGTCCCTGAAAATTACCATCTTTCTAGACCAAAGGTCCCAATTGGACTATTGAGCCCATGGTCATCTCCTCTAGAGTTCCTTTGTTTGAAGGTTGAAGAGAAATTGTTATGCAGGTGATTGAGGTAAGGATTTATTGGTGAGGAAGCAAAGAAATACTTGCTTTAACAATATAGCCATGGATTCTCTTATGTATCGATGGTGAAGCCACAGGTTTATTTTGAGCTAACTCGTTTCGGCCCGGATCATGTCCTCTAGAGATTGTTGGCAGAAGTGGGTGGTCATGCGCAAAGCTTTATAGAGGTCAGTCTCTCTCTCTGTCCTCTACGATTCCTGTTTTTGAAAGGAGTTAATGATTTTGAAATCGAAGAGAAATTGTGATGCTGATGATGGAGCTAAGGACCTTGGAACCCACTTCAATCTTGAGTGTATTTGTGAGAAAGCAAAAAAATACTTGCTTTTACTGTATAGCCATGAATTCTCATATAGATCAATGGCGAACCCACATGTTTATTTTTGGCAAAGGCAGTTTGTCCTAGATGATTGCCTTTTGAAACTGTAGGGGGGAGTGGATCATGAGCCGTTTTGCACAAAGATTTTCAAGGTCACCAATTAATACAGCAGGGGACCTTTTATGGCTTCCTTGATGTGGACTCTACCCTTTTATAAGCTTCTGATTAACGACTTGATGACCATCTTCCTCGAGTGGCCTGCGTCAAGGTTTCATGGCTCAAGTAATTTTCAGAGAGAGAGAGAGAGAGAGGGAGGTTTATTGGACATGGTTGAGGATAATGGATGTATGTGTATCCTTCACATATTTCTTTAACGGTGTGTAAATGAGTTGCCGATGGTCTAGCAAGAAAGGGTGTCTTTGTGTTGGAAATTTGTGTTTCTAAGGAGTTAGGCCTTCTTTTGAAACTATCCTCTTGTATTTCTTTTTGATCAATAAAGTTCTTAATATTGTCAAAAAAAAAAAAACAGTTTAGCGGCTAGAATGAGCCAATTTCCTAAGTGAGAATAAGAGAGAGAGAGGGAGAGAGAGATGGGATGGCATCAATGGTAGGGATGTCAATGGGCCGGGCTAGCCCTGGCCTTGTTCCCCATAGGCGTGGCCTAGGCCCTACCCTAGCCCTATCCAGGCTGGGCCAGCCGGGGCTGGGCTAAACGTAATTTAAAAAATAATAAAAGAAAAAGAGGGCCAGGCAGGCGAATCATGTCGCCGTTTAGGCTTAGGCCAGGCCCGGCCTGACCCTCGGGCCATGGTGGCCCAACATAGCCCAGTCCTCAGGCCACATTTCGTGGCCAAAGACCTAATTTTTAAGGCCAAGGCCGACCAGGACGAGTCGGGCCCCCTGGCCCATTATCATCCTTATTCGTTTGGTAGGAATAAGAGAGAGAGTGTGTGGGAGAGAGGGAGAAGTTATAGGGTCTTGGAACTTGTACCCTTGAACTGGGGGATCTTGCTTCCTCATCTATTTCGTTATGAGGAGATTTCGATCTTATGTAGCCCGTATTTGTGAAGGACACATAGGATCATTACTTATTTAAAAAAGTAGCGTTGAGGTATCAGTTACAATATTTCCATTTTTAAGATGGATGGGGTTTCTATACCATCTTTTCCATTTTGTCAAATGGGTTCTCTTTTTTCCATTTTATAGTGGGAGCGGCTGAGGGGGTTCGTGCGATTTACATAGGTCTAAGTGGACTGCAAATTGCAAAGATTTTTGCTTTGCAACAGATAGATATCCTATTACATATTTCCTTTGTCTAGAATGATTCTAATTGTTGAATGTAATATTTTATCACTAAGAAAAAGTTCTTGTATTTTCCATTCAATACTTGTTCACTTAACTACACTTATGTGCAATTAACTAGTTATTAACAACAGGGAATGTCATTTGAGCTCGTGTGTTTGCTGCCTCTACCTGACTTCAACACAGCAAGAGTATTGATATTTTCTGTGCTTTTAGCAGGAAAAAGCAAAGAAAAAGGGCATAGGTAAATAAAATCGGCACAGCTATACAAAAGGAAAATTGTCGATTTTCCATTGCCGGATAGACACATACACATACAAGCTTGAACAAAACAAATCCATCCTGTCATTTGTTCTTCTTCCTAAGAAAGATTTCTATGCTCATTTTTCCCCTCTATCGTGATCGCAGTGACGAAATCCAGTAACAATTCTGAATGGCAACCAGAATTTTCATGACCTTGACCAATGACAGTCTTTTACTGAGAGATAGGTGTTTCTTTGGATAAATAAAAGAGGCTTTATATGGTTAAGCTGTTTATATTTTATAATAGCAACATGAAGTTACAAGTTTGAAACCTAAAGCTGACCCCAAAAAAACAAGGGAAAGGATTTGATATAGGGCAAAAATCTTTTATTTTAATTAATTTTTCTTTACATGGTTTTGCAGGTGTGCTGCCATGAGATTGAGAAACAAATAGATATCTAGCAAATTCTCTTGTTTTTATTTCCTCTACATTGTCCTGTACATGGGCTGTCACATGAGATTGAGATCATTGTAGTTATTCTGGCAACAGGAAAAGTTGATTGCTAAAATGTGGAGCCAACTTTCAAAATGTCAAGAAGCCATATTTCCTTGAGAAACTGTAGTAATGCAAGATTGAATACAATAGTACATATTTCCATAAAAAACTGCAGTCAATGCAAGATTGAATACAATAGTACATATTTCCATAAGAAACTGCAGTCAATGCAAGATTGAATACAATAGTACATATTTCCATAAGAAACTGTAGTCAATTAAGGTGAACCCAGGCATGTAGAGTCTGGTAATGAGATACTCTATTTTCTTTTGGGCCCCTGTTCGTTAAGTCCACCTTCCTGACAATATCAAATAAATTTTTTTTGTCAAAATACACATAAATATCTAACTTTTAACATTTATGAATATTCAACTATTTTAAGCATAATCATGGGTGTTTTGATGGGCATTTTGAAATTAAATCAAAAGAAATGGCTAAATCATTGAAGGATGCAGCTTCTATAAGGCCTAGGCTTTATGAAATAAAGTTAAACTTCACCTCCAATCCACAGTATAGATGATGTGTTACAATATAACACTATTTTAAGGCTTGAAATCCTTCTTTTTTTTTTCTTTTTACAACCATAATGGTCAATACTCAAGACCAAGATGAACAACTTGAAGGTTTTCCAGTGAGTTTTGATTTGAGGTTTTACTTATTTTGATATGATTGAAACCCTATCAAAGTATTTTCTATTATTAAATAATTCACCTCTAATGTATATTTTTTTATAAACCGCACAAATAAGGAATTATAACTTTTTATTTCAAAATTTCACATAAAATAGATAAAAACATCAATATTTGAATACGCCCATGTGATATCATAAACAGTGATTGTACATGCAAAGCTAGTATCATACGCATAGGTATGCATATATTATGATTGGAAAAGTTCCAATACTTGTGACAAACCCTGAGTTCGCTTGGTTGTTGATAATTTGTAAAAGCAAGAGATAACAACAAGGACCAGCCAAAACATAAAGCAAATAGAATAAAAATGAAACGACATTGAAAAATGCTAATACGCCACAATGGGAGATAGACAAATGCTAATATGCCACAATGGTAATAACATTCCACAAGCGAAGACAATCAATAGTTTCAAGTGTTGGGTGCGTGTGGCCATTAAGGGCGTTATAAGTGCTTATAAATGAATTTATATAGCGGAACATGAACTATATAGATAGTGGGAGGATCCTACACAGATGAGTATGAGAGGGTCATTACTCTCTCTCTCTCTCTTTCTATATATATATATATATATATATATATCCCACATAGGGGGCATGCCCCACTCTCTTTATCTCTTGGAGTTCACTCTTCTCTCCCATATCTCAACTTATGTTGGGCTAAGGGTTTAGGGTATGGTAGAAGAGAAGTTATCTCTCAACTAGGTTATCAAAGGGGTTCTACCTGTGGTCGAGTTTTGTGATTGAAAAAAGGGTTTATGTTCCATTGGTTTGACTTGGCCTAAACTTGCTTTTCTAGTTGGAATTGAAGGTTGACCATTGATACCACACCATTGAAAGGTGATGACTTGGTGTGGGTGTAAGAAGCTCGGTTGAGATAATCTCCAGCACCCTCTTTTGTTTCTTGCATATTTATTTATTATGTCTTTTATTCTCAAGCATAGGTTGTGTCTTACTTTTGGTTATTGAAAGAAAGTTTTTATGTGGCATCAAATTTTTAGATCCTAGATTTATTTCTTTTATTTTATTTGAAGTTAGTTTATTGTAAAAGGACTATTTGTGAGTGATCTAAGCCATGAAATATATATATATATATATATATATATACTCCGACTAGATCACACAATCCTTCTTTAATCAAGAACATGACTTCAAAAGTTCGAGACACCTCTCACATAAAAAAAACTCGATTTCCAAGCCCAAAAACACATGAACACCTTATATACTTTCACAAACCTCAACTAAATTCTTGAGAAACATGTCCATACGTTGAAAATACTCATATTTTCAAAAATTCCTCCATAATAGCCTACTAATATGCATTGGGTATCCTAGATCATGAATATTACCCTTTTGTCTTTCGGGCCGTACACATGTCAATGTGAAGTGTCATCATTTGGATGTATAATATTTACAAATTATAATCAAGTTCATAAACATATAGCATAATCAAATTTCTATAAAAACGTTCAAAGAGTTTTGTCCATCATCCAAATATTATCATAACTATTTGAGGTAGGCTACATAAATCATTTTCAACTATTCTTACTCTTCCATGTGCGATAATTTTTTCAAAGAGCCTTGTTCACTATATGTAAATTTCCTTTTTAGGGGTTGGAGTGCTACACCTTCACGTCAATGGCCCAACCCATCTTTATGGGCGACACCTAGCAAATTTCAATCTTAAGGGGTCATTTCATCCAAAGAAGTCCACTTCTCACGCATTTTTAATTTCCTTTTTTCAAAAAAATGGAAAAGTACATGTTTCTTTGTTCTTTCCATTTGCAATCGTACTAGAGCTCTAGTAGGATTTAGGGAACATGTGATATTACAAAAATAATAGTTTTTTCAATAAATAGTAACAAACCAAGCTAAGAAGCATATAAATCTACAATACATGGATCAATGCTACGATGCATATAAATCTACAATCGCTGTATCAATGCTAAGATGCATATAAATCTACAATGGCTGTATCAATGTGGATTAACGACTGTCAAGGACCTCAACACAAATTACAAACATCTTCTAAATTTATCCAGAAATGAAAAAGGTCTTCATTAATTACCTTTATTTTTTTCTGATACCGCCTATGCCATTCAGATTTAATAGTCGAGATGCATTGGCATAAGAATGAATAACCTGTAAGTAAATACAATTGCGAATGTTTATGAGACGAGAAAATATTTGTGACATACCCATTGCGTATTAAAACTATCCTTAAAGGGCTTTGGTTCCCTTCGTCTCTCTCCCGCATGCTCGATGTGGGATTAAACACCTTTTTCATCTTTCTCACAAGTGTATGAATGGAAATAAATAATTAATTTAATAATTAATTTTTAAGAAAAATAAAAATACGGTGGACAAGACCCTTATCTTTACAAGCACAAATATCATTGGAGAATACAAAACACAAAATAAAAAAAATTAAGTTTGTCAGTATGACTATAAAATGGACAACAAACACTCAGATATGAGACGTGTTCTCAGTATTTACGCATTTTTATAAAATAATAAAAACTATAATGCAAATACCATATTTTGGAAACTTAAAAACTAGATTTAAATGAAAATTTTGTGATTTTTTGAAACTTTTTAATCCAGCCTATCAGGCCGATTCACGGATCTGAACCACCGAACCCCGATCCAAACCGGTTTTTTAGATGGGCAATCGGGGTGATTGATCCGTTTTTCAAAGATTGATTTTCCCTAAAATCAAAATACGCTCCAAGAGATCGCCAACTTTGATGATGGGGGATTTTGAGATCAAGATCATCTTTTCCTTTTGAATTAATCTTAGGAAGGTTCAAAGATATTGAGGAAGTTTTTTATCACAATAATCACCTCAATTGAGCTGAGTCGAGCAAATGCACAATTGGATCTGCCGAAACCACCATGCAGAAACCCACATTTATAAACACATGGGGAGAAGTCTTATCATATTATTTATACGCTAAAATGCAACCTCAACCAACCGTTGTCAACAATGAGGGTTGAGATGTAAGGATCCTTCCCTGTTTTCTGTCTTGAGTGGATAAATTGTTGATCTCAAATGTTTGTTACGGACGAATACAATAGAGGATGCAATTAGTGTATAGTACTATGAAAATATGATACTGTATATAACGAGACTATTTACTTGTGATACAAGGTGGTTATAATTACTTATAACTATTTGATGTGAGATTTGATTATTTGGATGCGTCATAACGTTTGGAATTTTTTTTTTGAAGTTTGAGCTTGGTCGTTAGAATAATTACAGCCACCCAATTTCACATCCAATGGTCAAGATTAATGTGACAATTTTATACCAAAAGTAAATAGTCTCATTCTATACTTTCCTTTAAAATATTAGGGTGCAGTTGACATACCGATGCATCTATAGATGTAGAGGTAAGGTGCACCTTCAAATTTTATCATGGTATATAATTTTGATATAAAATGTTTTTAAGATTATCTCAAAATCTATTTTTATATCTAATTATAAAATTTTAAATTTTAAAAATAGTAAAAATCAAGTAAATCTATAAATATATGAAAATCTTGAAAATGGACGGTGTAGATAATATGTTGTAAAATGCACTATTTATGAGACTTAAAATCTTTTTATTTTTCATGGCCATACATCTCGATGTCAAGATGATCAATCAAAGGGTTTTTCAACATTAAAACTACATTTTTCGATGGATTTTTTAGATGCATCCGTAGTTCTTGCATCCATATATAAACTTTTTCCAAAAGGTTAGCACCTTAAATTCTATCATAATACACAAATCCAAAAGGCAAATTGAAGGGAACAAACTCACCATGCACTTCCTTTGGGTTGGGTCATAATGGGAGTAAGTGGGATAGGAAAACCATTGTAAAGCCACCAAAGAATAATTAGATCCACCATTTCCTCCTTGAAAGAAAAGTTTTACAGCAAAAGAGAGAGAGAGAGAGAGAGATGAAATAAATAATAAGTATGGCCCTAATGTTAAAAACATAAGAGTATTTATAGATGAGAAAAGGTTTGAAAGAGAGAGAGAGAGATGAATAAATAGTAAGTATGACCCTAATGTTAAAAGGATAAGAGTATTTATGGATGGGAAAAGTTTGAAGTCACCTCATGTTCCCTACTCATGCTTTTGCAACTACCTTTCAATAATTGAATGGATGCCCCAAAGTCCCACAAACACCTACCAAACGTTCAACGCTATACAATAACCTAAGGCCAGTACATGATGTTTAAAAAATAAACTATTTATTTAGGAATTATTTATTTATTTATTATTATGATTTATTGATAACTTGTTACCAAATAGAAATACATCAAATAAAAACAATAAAAGGAGATAAAAGAAAAGAGCTCCAAACGCAGGAACTAAAAAGTGGATCAGGGACAGTAGACTCTCAATTTGACAAGAGAGAGTCCAGATTGGATATGATCAAAGATTGACATCTACTTCATAATTTCTTTCTCTGTAGCCATAGCAAATGGTTGCGATATACCTTGCAAAATTTTTGAGATATGATGAAAGATTGGGATAATCCTCCACTTGTTCTGCCTTTCTTTCTTGGATCATCTCCACTACATTAATGGAGTCACCCCATTATTAGCTGCTTAGTTCTATTATGTGAAAGAGTGAGATCATGAAGCAGAGCGCTTGCTTCAGCTTCAATTTGTAAAATATTCAGGAATAGGATCTCTACAAATAAAGTTTTAAGATACTAGCTTTCAAAATGCCATTGTATTGTTGTGAAAATTTCAAATTTGTGATTGCTTAATGGTAAAATTA